GCTGGTATCAAGGCCATGAAAAGGTTAATCTTCTCTGTTTGCGGTGAAAAACAGCTTTTTCTAGTTTCTCACTTTTACCTAAAAGAATGCAATGAGATATTGTTAAAAACCCTAAATAAATATAAATTGTACTCTTATTTTGATAATATCATCATGGGGATATTCGACGCAAAGTAATATATGGTTAATTTATTTCGCAAAATTCAAATGTATGACATGTGTGATTATTGGTCTATTCTATTCGGACAAAGGGTCATACATTTGAATTTTGCGAAATAAATTAACCATATATTTACTTTACATCGAACTTGACTTGTCTTTGTTTGCTCAGGTGTTTTCCTTTTGTTAAAACTTTAACTTTACTTTTTTAAGCGTTTGACGATACATTTGAAATTTTTATCGTCTATTATTTATTCTTTTTTCTTCTTTTCAACTTACCTAACACGTACAGAAATAAAAACAAAACACAAAAAGATGAATCACGGTCGTATTTTAATGTTTAGTGGTACTGCACTAGTTCTGTCTGGTTGTATGGCAGTAGGATTAATAGCTTCCGGTTAGCAGAAAATCATGAAAATTAGCGGTTTTTAACAGATTTTTCTTAATTTGTTCGATTATCTGTGAACAGCTGGTGAAATATTCCCTAACTTATGGTCTTTCGAGCACATAGTTTGTACAAATTATTCAAAAACCCAAACCATGTGTCTTCAGATCATCTAATCCACTGCACAAACTAGAAAAATAAACTGTAACGTAGGCGTTCATCACCACAGCTGAAAGTTTTAAAACTGACATAACTGCTAGATTTTTTATTACAGTCTTACCTGTTGAAAAATCAACTTCTGAATGGTAACTTCAGTTAAGCACTAACTCCAACTAGTTTTAACCTAATCAAAATATTTCACGAAACTCGTTCGGATTAGTTATTACATTTTCGACGTAAAAAATAGACTCTGACATGGGCGTTCACCACCACGGCTTAAACTGTTAAACATTAATAACGTTAAAGTTAAACCTCTATGTATGTCTTGTAAATTATAAATAATTATTATATAAATAGTTGTTGTGTTTCTAAAGTTATATTTTGAAACATTATTCCTGTTTGTCTTACCACTAGAAAAACTTACTTATGTAACGATAATCAGGGATATTCAGAGCCATATATTTCAAAAAATTAAGAAGAAATCCTTTTCTAAAAAATACATCAATATTGGGTGCTTTACATGTGTACTTTAAACTAGTAGAAGAAATGGGAATGAGACTTCTCTAATTAATGTAATTTCAGTTCATACAGTTGGCCAATACGAATAAATTTACAGTGAGCACTGTCCACCTTGACATATCACCGTAAACAAAAAAAGGAAGTTCATTTAGAATTGTGGAAACGTGCTTTTTTGTATTCGGCATACTCGATGATACAATAGATTGTCTATTTTTGATGAGGGGTACTGTCAAAACTTTCGGAGAATTTTTCGAACAAAATAACGCAAAAAAGTTTTCATGGGAAAATAATATTAGTTTCAAATTTTTCTTAAACGTTTTGACGGTACTTCTCGTCAAAAATTAAAAATTTGCTGGATTATCCAGTGTGCTGAATACGAAAAGGCACTTTTCTACGACTCTAAACCAACTTTAGTTTTTCTGTCGGTGATATGATAGATGAACATTTGATGAAAATATAAAATTTGTGCTTTTCTTATTTTATAATTTAAAGAGAAAAACAGAATAATTTCTCTTATGGGAAAGTCTAAATAGTATAAGAGTAGATTCAAACTCAGAAATTGTCAAAAAAACCCAAATCGCAACGTTTTAAAAAATGGTCGTAACCTTTTCGCCACTTGAAACAAAGTTTTTCAAATTCAGAATCAAAAACTGAATCGAAAAATCGAAAAAAATCGAAATTCTGATCCTAAGTCGCAGTTTTCTCTATTAGAACTCAACTTTCACGCAATGAAAATATCATATTCGAGATCAGGGCCAAGAATTGAGTCGAATGATATATATTTCAAAATTTTTCGTTGATTTTCATTTTTTTGATGAAAATCTCAGTAATTCTTCGACTCGAAAAGTCCAAAAAGTTCAAGTGATCGAATACGATAAAAAAAGTACATCATTCGACTCAATTTTCGACTCTGATCCCAAATATGATATTTTTCATTGCTCAATTAGAGAAGAAAATAATGTTCCTGTATAGATCTATAGAAAAATTATTCTAAAATGAGATGTTGTGTAACAGTAGAATTCAGAATAGAGAAACAGTGTCGATCGGAATATATTTTGAAATGCTCTCGAATAGCTCTCAGGATGTTTGCTTGCTGTATTTTCTTGCTCTTATAAAAAAAATAATAGATTGTATTTTCTCAAAACAATTACAGATATCTGTTGCTTAACTGATGAGGGAATTTCTCCACAGTGTTCCCCAAAAGTGTTGTTTCCCTGGGATTTTGGAGAAATACATAGGGTCTGATAGAGCTAAGTGTGCTGATCATGAATATGATATTTTTAGCTACCACCGTTAGCTCGCTGCTGAGTTAGAGTAGTTTTATTTTACTTTGGTCAAAAAATGATCTATTTTCGATCGATCACACCTTTTAGCAGATGCGTTATTCATGTTCGTTTAATATCCTGTTTGCTGAGAAACTCTTCATCTTGGTATATGGGACATAACAATTCGAGCGTTGAAATTATACTTATTAAGCGTTTTCTATAGTGCTTCATTCTTTCTGTTCGTAGAATTATTAAGAAATAGATAATGTTGAAAGTTAACTGATATTTTTATACTGATAATAAACGTTAAAGTGAAATGTAATATGTCATAAGAAAGTGTTTTGAATTCACCACAAATTGACATATTAAAAAATACAAAATTACTTCTTTGTACAGAATTTAAGGAGCAAAACAATTACGCTGCATAGCAAAGATACGTGTACAGTAAACGCTTATTTGATTCTCGAATACTATAAGTCGCATTGTTATGTCCCATATACCAATTGTAGATGAAGAGTTCCTCAGCAAAACAGGATATTAAACGAATGTGAATAACGCATCTGCTAAAAGGTGTGATCGATCGAAAATAGGCCATTTTTTTTATCATAGTAAAATAAAACTACTCTAACTCAGCAGCGAGTTAACGCTGGTAGCTAAAAAATATCATATTCATGATCAGCCCACTTTTCTCTATCAGACCTTATGTATTTCTCCGAAATCCCAGGGGGAGGATAAGAAGAATATTATTACATTTTTTTCTCTTTATGCATTTAATCGTAAATCGTAAAGAGAATTTTTAGAAATTTGCCTATCGAAAAATTTCGTGTACATGTATACATCAAAAACAACGATACTATATCGAAATGTCGTTAAAATAAATCTGTTGTGCCGCGGCAAACCAAACGGCAAGAATTTTGAAATGCTCCCTTATTGTCACTTGAACAATTTCTATCAGCGAGTTGCTTTCAATTCCATTTTCACTTCTTATCCAGCAGACTCCCCATGAAATTTTTAAAGTCACATCGAATGTTGATCAAAGTTACTGGTCATCAAATTTGTTAATGTGTCAAACACCATCTTATACATAATGAAGTTACAATTTCACTTGAGACTAGTTTCGTCTTTAGTCAAAAGACATCATCAGTCATATGATGGAAAAAACATTTATCATCTCCTTTTAAGCATAAAAGAAAAAGAAGAAACACATGTCTAGAACACAAAAGAAAAATAATAAAAATACAAACTAGTCCAATATCTGTCCTACATGACCCGATGTGTCATCAGAAAACATTGAGAATAAACGTTTTTTGAGAATATTCTTAATTTTCTTTCTCCTGTGTATATCCATTAGTAAACTTTCTTTTATCTCTCTTTTTATTACATGCGATTCAAACGCAAGAATTTCACAGTTCCAGTTTGTTCTATGACCAGTAACTAAACTATGATTGGCAATTCTTGAGTATCCAGTACCTTGAAAAGCATCTTTATTCTTGTTTTCGCTTTTCACCTCTCTAGTGCCTATATATTCATAGTCTATAATCAAGTTGTTCTACTATGTTATTGAATATACTAGCTATAACTGTTTGTCTCTTTACGATCACGTCGGCTGTATCAGGTCTGTGTCGATCACAAAAACGCTCTCTTTATTGTATCTGCTCTTAAATTTCAGTCTTAATCGATAACAGTACTGTGATTGGCAATGTCAGTGTGCCTGTGATCTCCGTGAAACGTGAGTGGATTCAAGGTGACAAACAGGTGCCTGCGTCGTCATACAACGTCGTACAGTCCTCACACAAATCTTACCAGTATCATGCAAAGGCGTACTCCAGTGAAAATAGTCAAGGTTTTCAGGAGCAATACATTTCTAATGGTATTCAGCCTTTGGTGCAAGGGCAGTACGGTTCCAATGTTATTCAGTCTGGCGTTCAAGGTCAATACAGTTCCAATAGTATTCAGTCTGGTGTTCAAGGCCAATACAGTTCCAATGGTATTCCGTCTGGTGTTCAAGGCAAAGAAGTAATTAGTGGTATCCCGTCTGGTGTTCAAGGCAAAGAAGTAATTAGTGGTTCCAATGGTATTCAGTCGAGTGGTCAAGGTCAATACAGTTCAAGTGGTATTCAGTCGGATGTTCAAGGTAAAGAAGTAGTCAGTGGTGGAGGTGGAATTCAAGTGGTACAGCCAGCAGGATACGGTAATCCGAGCCAGGAAAACGTTGGTAAGTGATATGCAGTTTTTCTAAACAAACATGTAAGGGAGAACTTCAAATGAATATACGATTCTTCTCTGTATCCTCGCAGTAGACACATGCTTCCTTCAGTTTTGAATGTCCGAAAGCTTTATTCATACAAGTTAAACAACTATTTAGATGCGCTCTTTCAGTCTCTTGTCAATCTGATTTTGTCGAACGAGAAAAATGATGTTGAGTTTTGTGACCATCGTATTTTATGCGTGAAAGTTTATCTTTTCTTCCTGTTTTAGTTAACAACAAACCGGTTGGTGTTCTGAACCAACAAACGATGGAACAAAATAAAAATTTCGACATACAGCAACGTCCTGGAGACTATGTCAGGCAACAGGAACGAGTCGCTTCTCATGAACCGTCAGGCTCTGTCAACAGTGGACAACAAGAAGGTCGCAGTGAGTTGTACCAATTACAGTCGAACGTTGGTCGTATTCCAAGTGCTAGTTCGTCGGGCAACAACCCGAACAGATATGTTCATGAAGAATGGTACTTAAAAGATACTCGCAATTGAGTCGGCGTATATTTACTTTTTTGTGTTTGAATTTTCGTATCGCTTGTAATTAATGTCAATATTTATACAATAATGAAAATCAACTAGATTTTCAAGATATGCGAGTCTTTTTACAGCTTCTTGACAGCATAAATAAATGAAAGCAACAACGTTCATCTTATGTTGAAAATTTTGAAGCAAAACTTGTTAAATTGTCTTTAAATAAATTCTACTTTCATGTGATTACATTCTACTAACCTATCGAATATAACATTGGAAAAACGATCAACGCAAAATTCAAGATAAGGACTACATATCTTTACAAATTATTCTAAAACCAAAACCATGTGTCTTCAGATCACCTAATCCACTGCCCAAACTAGAAAAATAAACTGTAACGTAGGCGTTCATCACCACGGCTGAAAGTTTTAAAACTGACATGATGCTCTGCTAGATTTTTTATAGTCTTACCTGTTGAAAAATCAACTTCTGAATGGTAACTTCAGTTAAGCACTAACTCCAACTAGTTTTAACCTAATCAAAATATTTCGCCAAAACCCATTCGGATTAGTTATTACATTTCCGTAATGTGAAACACTTATTATTTATCAAGAAAACCTTGAGCCTGGTAGAATATAATATGTAGATCACAAGAAAGTACAATTATTTAAAGACACTTCAACACAACTTTTTTGTCAAATGCTTTCCATGGAAGAGGAAAATTAGCAAATTTTGCGTAACACACATTAACAATTGAATCATTTTTTAAGGTGAAGAATTTAAGAATAGATAATAAGACAAACACCACCTTATACATAATGAAGTTACAATTTCACTTGAGACTAGTTTCGTCTTTAGTCAAAAGACATCATCAGTCATATGATGGAAAAAACATTTATCATCTCCTTTTAAGCATAAAAGAAAAAGTTTTGTTACATGAGATTCAAACGCAAGAATTTCACAGTTCCAGTTTGTTCTATGACCAGTAACTAAACTATGATTGGCAATTCTTGAGTATCCAGTACCTTGAAAAGCATCTTTATTCTTGTTTTCGCTTTTCACCTCTTGCTGTTTGTCCAATATAACTGTTTGTGCAGTCAGAACAGTCATATTTATACACTACTCTTTTCTCATTTATCGTATTGCGAAATGTTTTCCCAAATACAGAT